TCCGAGCATGCTTGAGCCCCCCCGGCCAGAGGGGTCTCCGCCCTCGCACCCCGAGGATTTTCCTGGGGTTCCTCAGCCACATCCCAGGCATACTGGTGGGCTCTGCGGATCTCCCACCCCAGGACACCTCGCACCCCTCTGCTCTTGGGGCTCCCAAAGGCCACCCCATGCCTCTCTACAGCGCCCCATGGCACGACTGTGGCCGTCCACGTCACCCCATGTCACCCCACTGTCCCCTCCCTGGGGGTCCCGGCGGGGTTCTGGTGCCTTCACCCATGTGGGGGACCCTATAGCGCTTCCCCCATGAGGAGGCGTGCAGATAGAAGTCAAAGTTCCGCTGCTCCCTCACCCCACCCCTAGATACCCACTACCACGCGTGTGAAACCCTGCGGACACCCCCACATCCTCACCCCACCCATTTTTGGTGCCCACGCTCAACTCCCCGCATCCCCTAGGCGTGTCCCCCCGCCCCCGTGTACCCACACACATGGAGCCCTTATACAAACCCCACTCCTGTATTTGGCATTTTTAGGTGCTTGGGATGGGGAGGACACGGTGGGGGACACGAGTGGGGACACACGTACAAAAGCCGTAACGAGGCTCCGGTCCGAAGCGGGTCCCTAAGGCCACGTTGGGGGCGCAGGGGATGGGCCGTGGGTACCCCCCCCTTCCCTTCACAGCTGTCGGGGGCCGGGGTGTCCGTGGGTGCCCCTCCGGCCCGTCACAACTCCCGGGAGGGCTGCGGGATGCGAGGGTGCCCCCCGTCCTCTTACAGCTCGCGATCGGCGCTGCTGGATGAGGTCTTGAGTGGGACCGAGTCGAATCCATCCGGCATCCGCTGTGGGGTAGGGAAAGTGAGGCCCGGAGCCCGCCGGCGTGGGGAACTGAGGCACAGAGCCCCCCTTGGAGTGGGGAAACTGAGGCCCGGAGCACCCCCGGGGTGGGGAATTGAGGCATGGACCATCCTCAAATCCCACCCCCACCACGGCTTTTGCGGTGGCTGCTCCAGGGTTGTTTCCGCCGCCCACCCCACCGCTCACCTTGGCCGTCAGGGCTTTAAGTTTTCCAAAAAGTGACATTTCGGTGGCAAAGAGCAGCTCGTCCTCCGCGTCCTCCCCCTCCATGATGGCGCAGCTATCGGGCGACGTCGCGTCGGTCTCCCGGGCCGCCGCGTCCATCACCAGCTTGGAATATTTGTATTCCAACCTGGGAACGCAGGCGGTGCCATCACCTTCCCGTGACAGTGGTAGCCCCCGTGTCCCCAAATCCCGCCGCCAATTGCTCACTTTTGAGTCTTTTTCCAGAAATAAGCGGCGAGCGCGGCCAGCAAGACGGCCACACCCGTCCCGGTGGAAATTCCCACTTTTAGCCAAAAATCCACGCTCCGGCACGCCTNTTGCATCAGCCAGCACGACCCGCCAGCCTGCCTCCCCCTGCAGGCACCCGCCATTCTCCAGCACCGCCGTCCTGGGGACACGGAGCCCGCGGGAAGGGGGCTGGGAAGCGGGGAACCCCTTGGACATCAAGGCGAACGCATTAAAGAGGAGCCCCAAGCACCGCTTTCATTCCGCAGCAATGGAATGCTGGGGTGCCCTGGGAAAGGCGGGGTTTGGGGGTACCCACTCCTCCTGCCGCCCTCCAACTCCTCCCCACATCCGGCACCCACTGACGGAGCTGGATGCGCTTCCCGCTGCCCCATAACCCGCCGGGAGCTACGTGGAGTAGGCTCCTGCCCCCCACCCCCCCAAGTGTGGGTGTACCCCAAATCTGGGGGTGGCACTGTCTAGGATCCCCCCCGGCCAGCTGCATCCTGCGGCAATGCAGGGAGCGGATCCCTGGGGATCGCAATGGGACGGGATCCAAGTCCGGGCCAAGGGGAACCTGGGATCTGCCCCCCAGCTTGGGAGGACAGAAGGCGGGTCTAGTGGGAGAACTTCTCCCACCTCAACCCCTGGAATTAGGGACGAGGGGGATCCGCCCAGAGACAGGCCCTCGGTCTCTGCTGCAACCTACCCACAGGATCCAGTCCCAGAGGGCAGTGATCCACCGAGGTGATCCCCGAGGGTTGGGGATGAGTACACAAACAGCTGGGGAGGATGGGAAAGACCTCCCGAAAGGTCACCCCATCTCATCGAGGAGGTTCGGGGATCAGCGTGGGGGCCGCTACAAGCTCCTCGGGAGGGAGAGAGGGACCCTTAGGGGATCCCCCATCCCCGAGGAAGGGAAATGGTGGCGAGTTCCTATCCCCTGCGGACCGGTCACCAGGCTGACGGGGCGGGGGGAAAGGCACCGGCAAGGGAAGATACACCCGCGTGTGACAAGGGGGTCCCCCAGCCCGGAGGTTGCCTCCCCTCACCCACCCACCCCCACGTACACCTCCGCCAGGCGCCGTCCGCTCGCACCAGCGCAT